AAGATAGGTTAATATAGTTCTAATAAAATGTCACTTTCTTAATGTGATACAGCATTAAAACATGAAATATCTGTATAATATTGTTTTAAAATAGTTAACACTTTTCAGGCTTTATTAAAACAATTTGGAGAAGAAATTTGATTGTGTAAAAAGGAAATAATATACTTATCATTACTTTGAGGTGGTATGCAGCAAGTAATACCACTAGGTACTATTCAAAAACAAAAGAAGCAATTCATTGTTTTTGCTATTGTGCTACTTGGGGAAAATTACAGGTCTGGCTATTACTATTACTAAGAGCCCCTCTATGAAGCAGGGTCAACAAGTTTGATAAATAAAGTAATAGCAAAAGAAGCTCAATGAGATAATCCTACACAGTCATAGAAAGATGCTCTTTAATATTTGTTCATTGGCTTTTGCTTTGGTAAATTTTCTATGGAGAGTGTTAAGTGTAGGAACTTAGAAAATTTTCAAAAATTGTGCAGCAAAAAAGTGTACAACAGCCCTCTCTATCCAGATGTTTTGGATTTTAATATTTCCCAGCTAGGAGGTCAGTGATAAGGTAATATGCCAATTGTTGCCCAAAAGTTCTGCAAGTACCAAATTGCTTATTTCTCTCCCATTTTTTCTTTTATTTGCATATTGTACCATGTTATGTTTTTACTTTTTGTACTGGATATGTTTCATGTTGTATTTTTTTTTCCTATGGAAGCTGTTTTGGTTTTTTGGAGTGGCCTAGAAATATGTTTAATGAACAAGTAGAGACTAACATATTTTGTTTGAAGCTATTGGTTAAGATGAAGTATCTTTTGTAGGAGGAGAAGCCATAGTCACATGTTTTGACTACATATCCAGCAGGAAACTACTTGGACCTTATTAAAAACATTTTACATACTTTCATTCTGTAAAAAAGTTATACAAAATTTGGTAGTACATATCACATCAATTTTGAATGCAACATATATTGACATTTATATTGTTTAATAATATATAGATATCAAAAGCTAGGAGATACCACTTTATTGTAATGAACAAAATAAGGAACAAGTCCATATGGTACTGGAAACACAGAAGGTATTTTGATATATTTTTGTTTCATTCTGAATATGGTCCATTTTTGTGATTTGAACACTAAACAAACTTAATCTTTTAATACAGGGTCCCCAACCCCTGGTCTGTGGCCCAGTAATCAGGCTGCAGCCCAGCTGGAACCGGGCTGCACAGGCAATGGGCAAAGGCGTAAAGCTCCATTTGTGTAAGTAGTAGGTGTGTGGGTAGGTGTGCAAAACTATCCCCTCTCCACCGCTACTGTTGCTGGTCTGTGGAGCCAGAAAGGTTGGGGACCGCTGCTTTAATAAATTTGTTTGTTAAGTTGATAAAACAACACAGAAAATAACACTGTATATTTGCCCTTTTTTCAAGACACAGTTATTGGATGAATTAAGACTTACATTTTATTTTTCACATGCCAAAATATTTGCTGTGTTAAAACAATTAGTCTAAATTGTATGAATCCCTAATATTTCTTTGCAATTTTAAAATAGTCCCTGATTTCAGCATGACTTCAGCAACATATGATCATATTTGCATGAACACATTAGGAGTTTTCCTGTTTTGGGGATTGAGGAAAAATCAATTATACTGACAGATATATTCTTAAGTGAATGAAACTGTACTTTCAGAAAGCTTTAAAAATCAAATCTTTTATGTTTGAGATGAGACACAGACTGATGTGTACAGGCAGATTCTAAGAATATTCCTACAACTTCTCAGGTATATCTATTCAAAAACTTTTAACCAAATATAACAGACAAAGATGAGATGCCATGCTTATTGGACAAATATGAAATAATCATGATGGCGCCTTAATCACTAGAGTGAATTAGCCCTCACTATCCTGGCTTGAAAAGCATCTTTTTGATTTGTTAAGGTAAAAATGGAACACATTGGCATTTTTGCAACAGGTTTTACAATATATTTTTCCCAATTATGGTAACTATGATTGAGCTTACTGGAGTGGAGATGAGTGGACACATACAGGAACAAGACACAGATGATCTGGGAGGGGAGAGTATGTAAGAAAGAACGTTTCCCCGAGAATCCGGGAGGTAGATGAGGCAAGTGTTCTCACTGGTGGAAAAACAAACCACTCACAAGCTTTGCCAAGTCATAGTACTGAAAAGGGGGAAAAACCCTTTACTTCCAAGAAAGCAGCAGCAAAGAGGGGAAAAAAACCCACATGGAACTTCTGTATGGCAGTTTTCATTCTGTTTCTTCTCCCAACAGCCAAGAACAGGCAGGGCGTAATAAACAAATTCCCTCTTCAATTGATGAAAATGTTTTTATTATGGAACTCAAAATAGTATGTGTCTTCAGAGTTGCTATAGCCCCTGGAGTCCTAACAATTTCCTGCCTTGAATTCTGCACAAAATAAAAAGAAAGGTACAGTTAGAAAAATGGGATAAGAAGGAGAATTTAAAGAGCAAAAGCTTAAATGAATATAGTTGTAAATATAAAAAGCCTGGACCAAGAATGAGAGTTTGGTATTTGGTGTAATGGTTAAGGCATCAGACTAGAAAACAGGAGGCTATGATTTTAGTCCTACTTTAGCCAGCTGTGTGATTTTGGACCAGTCATACTCAGCCCTTAGAAGCAGGCAAGAGCAAAATACAATCTTGCCAAGAAACTACATAGACTACTTCTAAGTGGATCATAAGCTTCCTAACAGACAGGAAGCAGCACGTGAAGCTAGGCAGAATCACACCTGATACCTGTACAATCAGCATACCCCCCCCCCCCAAGGCTCTGTGCTTTCTCCACTTCGCTTCTCCCTATATACCAATGATTGCATCTCAAATGATCCATCTACTAAATACTGAAGTTTTCAGATGATACAACAGTGATTGGTCTCATTTGAGACAACGATGAATCCGCATACAGACAGGAGGTTGTACAACTTGCCTTGTGGTGTAACCAGAACAATCTGGAACTGAACACACTCAAACTGTAAAAATGGTGGTAGACTTTAGGAGAAACCCTCCCATATTACCACCTCTTACAATACTAGATAACACAGGATCAACAGTAGAGACCTTCAAATTTCTAGGTTCTATTATATCACAAGATCTAAAATCAAAAACATCATCAAAAAAGCACAACAAAGAATGTTCTTTCTGTGCCAACTCAGAAAGCTCAAACTACCCAAAGAGCTGCTGATACAGTTCTACAGAGGAATTATTGAGTCTATCATCTGCACCTCTATATCTGTCTGGTTTTGTTCTGCAACCCAACAAGACAGACACAGACTTTAGAGAGTAATTAGGACTGCAGCAAAAATAATTATACCAACCTCCCTTCCATCGAGGACCTGTATACTGCACAAGTCAAAAAGAGGGCTGTGAAAATATTTACAGACCCCTCACATCCTGGACATAAACTTTCAACTCCTACCCTCAAAACGACGCTATAGAGCACTGCACACCAGAACAACTAGACACAAGAACAGTTTTTTCCCAAACGCCATCACTGCTAAACAAATATTTCCCTCAACATTGTCCAATATTTACAAAGTCTGCACTATTCCTGTTAATCTTCTCATCACTCCTTCTCACCCATCCCTTCCCACTTGTGACTGTATGACTGTAACTTTGTCGCTTGTATCCTTACGATTTATATTGTTTCCTAGTATGATTTGATTGCTTATTGTACTCTATGACTATTATTAAGTGTTGTATCTCATGATTCTTGACTCTTGATGAATGTATCTTCTTTTATGTACACTGAGAGCATTTGCATCCAGACAAATTTCTTGTGTGTCCAATTGCACTTGGTCAATAATAGAATTCTATTCTATTCTAGTTATACAGTCGCCAGGTGTCAATACAGACTGGGCTTAAAAATTTCATAAAATGTAACAAATCAGATTTCTGAGAACACTTAAGTTTTAGATATTTATCTCTGGAAGAAAAGGGGCAGTGAGCCAAAGGCTCTTAAAGAACTCCCAACTGGCTGCCCAGATAGAAAGCGGAAGAAAGTTGTTTCAGCCAATATCCCAATTAATGTAATCCTTCCAAATAGATCTTTTCTGGAGACACCACTCATTAGTATTACAACTCAGCATGACGTCAAAAATCCAAGACTAGAAAAGAAAAAATCCTCATGTGGACTGATCTTTTAAGTAAATTTGCCTCTTCTGTTTTATCAACACTTAAAAAAGACTTCCATATGGAAAGAAATAGGCAAAACCAGCAGCTCTGAAGTATTTCCTACATTCTGTTGTACTGCCCTTCTTTCAATTTTGTGGGTTTCTTTACATAGAATTATTTGACTTGTATTGATGTCATAGTGGACTTAGTTAACCAGGAATGTCCCATTTGACCCTTTGTAAGGCAGGAAAGACTATTTTGTTTTGAAACTTAGCAGTGATGGTGGGTTACCTTTAGATGGGATTTTATTTTATAGGCTGGAGATAGTGGGTCATTTGAGGTTATGTTATTTTATCGGCCTTACTAGGTTTTTTAAAAAAATGCTTGTGAACAGTCCAGAATCTTGGGGAAGGGATGTGTAATGCTAGATACATAATAAACTTGCTCTTCTTGCATTCCTACGGCTCTCCAGTTATTGACAGATTGCTCTTTATTTCAGTAAAAAGCCCTTTATCGTTGGGAGAGTTCCTATTTATGATGCTAGAATGAAATAAATTGAAGAGTTGGGGAGGAGGGAGGGAACCACTGAAGGAGCCGGGATGCCCGGCTGCTTCTAAAGATGCCAGAACTCGACTGAGCCTGATCGGTTTCCCAGCCGCATGAGAGACTCCGCGGTGGTTTCGAAGCCTCCGGCCCTGTTGAAAATCCAGCGTCCTCCCCCACCACTCTTCCCCTCTCCGCAGTTCCTGGGACAACTCCCGCGGTGTCTAGCGAGGCCGCGACCTGTAGGAGGAGACTTGAGCGGCCCTTTCTCTCTCCACCTCCGGCTCTCGCCATTGTTCCCGCCCCCTCGGCGACTCTTTCGGGCCTCTGTTCACTGTGGGCGCCGCTCGCCGTCTCCCTCCCGGCCTTTTCTGCCGCAGCCGAAGCCGCCGCCTCCTTCTCTTCCTCCTCCATCTCGAGCTCGTGTTGCTCGGCTCGCAGCTGGTCTGTTCCCGAAGGGGAGATCCCAGGCCTCCGACCGCCATGTCCCGCTATACGCGGCCTCCCAACACCTCGCTCTTCGTCAGGAACGTGGCGGACGCCACTAGGTGAGGAGACGGTGGAGGGAGGCGGCTCAGAGCTATAAGGGAGCGGCTGCGGGAACGCGATGGGCCTTTTCGGAAGAGCGGGGCTCGTCGCTCCTCTATTTTGGGAACAGGGCGCCGAGGCAGAGACGTGGGGCTCGAACGGAGCGTAATGAGCGGCCCGGGTTAGGGATGAGGGGGAAAGAGAGCGTCACCATTTTCGAGGTGGTGGTATTTATTTGTTTTAATTCCCCACCAAAGTCTCTGCATTTAATACCTGCACCGAATATTAATCTATTGGGGAAGCTTTGCTCCTCAAGGCCTCTGAAGCTTATCCCAAGGAGAGCGTTGTTCATTTCCTTGCTATTTTTTTCCTCAAAATGTTATTTATTGGGTGTTAAAAGAATCATAGAATGCACAATGGGAAAAAGCACGAGGGGAAAAAAAAATAAAGCCTCTCTATAGGATTAAGAAGTAAGAGCTTCCAATGTCAATTGTCCCCCATGCCCTGCTTTAAGAGGACAACGAATTAATTCCTATGAGGAAGACTTAACTTGCTTTTGTATCACCATAGCGGTATGTTTCTCTGGGGGAATCCAGCTGCATGCCCCAACACGTTGGTCCCAAGATTTGGGGAGACCTTCATAGATTTTTGATATCTTCCCAGTGTGCTTTCAATGAAATGTAAGCTTAGACCAAGGATATAATTCTGTGGATTCAATCTCACCTTCCTTTTCTTTTGACATTATTACCTCCAGGCCTGGGGTTTAATTGAAAGTCATATAACTTAATGATGCAAATGGGAATTAGGCTTCTGTAGTTTTTTTTTTAAATACAAGGTAGGTACTGTACGTTTTGAGATGTGGAGATTATAATTTGGAAGTGGATTGTATTTGCTGAAATTCTCTCCTGTCAATGAAGAGGCAACCAGTTGTTTGTATAGGTTTCAGTTCTTGGTATGTTTTGAAAATAACTTGTCTTATCATGTTAAATGATAAGATTTTTGCCCTCGTAGATATCAATTACATATAAAATGTCTACTGTGTTTCATCAATATCATTAATTGAAAATTATTTTTCAATTTTAACTGATTTAAGTACAGTTCCCTGATTAATTAACATTTAATCATTTCTAATATACATGGTAAAGATTCCCCGAAATTGAGTTTGGCTCCTGGTAATTGCATCCATGCAATTTTTTCTGAAGTATTATCAAAATTATTTGTAATTGCCTTCTGTTGCTGTGTGTGTAAGAGTCATTTATTCCCCATTCTAATCATCAACCCCAAGATTTTCAAATTGTCCTTCACTCAAAAATAATCAGGGCTGAGCCTGTTTACCTCCATAGATTTATCATTTAAAAAAATGAATATAGTAAACCTATTGAAACAGTTCTTCTTTAACATAGGAGACCTTTATCTAAAAGTTTTTATAGTTATCCTGTCTTCCTGGGACTTAAAAAGAGAACAGAATAAATAGATCATACAACATTTGAATCCAAATTAGTCAGATGTTTTGGATCTAGCATAGCATCTTCCTGGAACCGTCACTACCCCCTTAAAAGGATACAAACTTTCCTGGACTTATTGGTAGATGTATAAACTCAGGACATGTGTTTAAAATTTGGGAGATGGCTGTTGCTATCCTTATTAAGCGCATGATGAGAACATGGCAGGATGGAAGTAAATGCCCATACACAGTCTGTATAAATTTGGTACATATGTTCCTCTTGGCTTCTAGGTGCTCCTTAAGAAAATATTTTTTGAAATGACCCTCATAGCATTAGTATTCCATATTTTATTATTAACACACTCTGATGCTAAGGAGTTTTACTCCCTCTCCCCACTAGAAAAGAAATCTGTTCCAAATGCAAAAGACAAGCAGAGGAGAGGAGCTTCAGTTTTAATTTCACAGCAGTAACAAGCTTTAGTACAGAACAGTTGAGTTAAGCCACACCCAGGCTCCTTGCTGTCTCCTTGCTCACACAGCAATACTGCTTCAGTTTCCAAACAGCCCTCAACTCTCACACACTGACAGGATGCTAGTCAGATGAATACCGATGGATGCTGGTAGGCAGAGGCACAATTCCCCCCCCCTTATTTTCCTCCCCAAAAGCTAAGCCCGATCACATAGTTTTGTAGCGAAGCATGGGTATAGAGCTAGTTATATATAAAACTTCAATGCAGCACGGCAGTGGCTTCATAACTGGATGTCCAACTCAGCTATCCAGGCAATTCCCTCTGGATTTGCTTCATTCAGATCTTCTATCTAGGGAATTAGAGAACGCATGTCTTGAGCAATCTTGCACGATATGTTTCATACTTTGTGAGATGGTGACAGGACAACCTATGTTGCTGCTTCTGAAGGCCTCTTGAATTCACACATTTCCTGAGCAAGCACTGCTACTGTGGCTCTTTTCAGGAGCTGTCAAGAAATATAGAGAGTGTACTCACTTCTAATTTAAAACACCTTTATGCAAATCTAAATACTGCATACATTTGAGTATAAATTATAAAACAATGCTTTATGAATAGAATGCGGTTGTATAGTTTTTTCCTCTATTGAAGTACCACCCTTTTATCTTTCATTAACAGAAAACTGCATCCCTATAAAATCTGCTGTTACCATTGCTAAACCATAACCTGTTAACCTCTGTTTCAACTCCTTATACTTCCCTGTCTTATCCCCAAGGTAATGAGTGATAAAAGTAGCCATGATGATATCTGAGCAGGAGGAAAACATTCCTTTAGTATTACAGCCAAGAGCAGCTTAAGTTTATTTTGCTCATGGGTGAGGACAACATCAGGAGATCTGATAAAATAAAGATGCTTCCAGGCCATTTTTATGTTACAGTTTAGGTACCAGTAGAGAAAAGGCCTTTGCCATTTATTTGGGAGTAGGAAACTTCTCTGACAATTTCATTGAATTCATTGTAATGGACCCATAAATTATAGGTTGCTTACATATAAACAAAATGATGCTGTGGAAACTCCCACTGATGGAAAAACCAAGGATGTTGTTAATGAGTTAATTTACCTGTTGTTGATCTAGCCAGTTTCTTTCTGCAGCAAGAAAAGGGACGAATGAAAAAGAACAAGGACAGTGAATATGATCACTTTCATTACTGTATTATATCCCCTTTCTATCAGAATATTCCATGAAGAGAGATATTCTCACAAGAATTTAGGAAGCAAGGCATCATATTCTGCACGTATAGGGTTTTTGCAATTTCTTTTTCAAAAATGATCAAATTCCTCATTTAATGGGAATTTTAGAATTAAACCACCTCTTTCTTTAAAGATGAAATGAGTAGTTAATGATTTTCTTCTTTGTTCATCAAAAATTTGGGGAGAATTCAATTTAGCTGACAGCTGTACAGTGAGGAAATACTATTGTTTTACATCACAATATAATTGCAATGTAGATTGGCCCTTTTGCATTAGCAAAAGGTACATAATAAATGCTTTATTGAAACAAACAGATTAATTTTGAACAACGCAAATTGATTTAGGATCATGGCTGTTAAACATTTAAAATTTGTTTGCTAAAATTCTAATATGGATCTGTACCACCATTTTTTTCACACACCCTCCCATGTAGCTTGTTAATTATGTTTTTGAAATATGTACTTTGATGCTTCAGATACTCTATTCCTTGGTTCTTATACTTAAACAACAAGCAATGAATCAAACAAACAGTGTTTATGCACTAAATAATGATATAGAAGAATGAGACTCATGTAAATTGCGATCAGTTTGTTTAAATCCGGGGTTCTAGGGATTTCCTTCAGTTTGTAGAGATAGTATTTTTATTTTTTGAATGCAAAGACTTTGTTCCAACCAGAGTGGAATTTCTTTTAATTTTTGTTAGAGAAGTGAGACAATTCCCTTGTTATAATAGGATTTTTGTTTATTTGAAATGACCGATTCTTTATCTATGACAAGTGTCCAAAAAAGTTTCCTTTTAGTTAATGAATAAATGATTATTGTCCAACCTATCAGAAATATATATAAATACCTAGTTATTTGGTTATATAATCAGAAAACATAGAAGCAAAAATAAAGAACCCAATTTCAGCAGTTAGCCCATGATTCCATTTGTACAATACAGATTTTTTAGATATTGAATTAACCATTTTCTGAGTTCATGTCACATGTTTATTGGACTTAATCAAATAGGTTAGGTCAACCAGTTCATACATGGTTCAGTTTTTTATATAAGTGTTATATCCTGCCTTTTTCTCCAGGATCTCAAAGTAGCACATACATACACACATATATATATATAGCATTCTCTGTACAGCATTCTGTGTTTCAATTTTTGGATGTGTGTTAGATTGAGCTGGATAACTAGATTCTGAGGTGAGATTCTAAAGTGAAGGTGGAAATTGAACCTGTTTTTCCCCATGCTAATCTAACACCTTAATATTTGTCCTGTACTGTAGCTGTTATGTTTATAACTAACCTATTTAAGGTTACATTATACAATACATAGTATAATGTATTGTAGAAATGCGGTTCTTAATTACTAATTAGTATCGGTCCTTCAGTAAGTCTTTGATCCCCATTTATTCAGTTCTCTGTAGTGCATAATCACTTTTATGAGTTCTTGTAACCCTTTCCAAACTCATCACTACATCACATTTTTACTGTGTAAAGAAGTTTTCATTTTCTCTTCCTTATTAAGTTTAAGTGTAGACTTCATGTTCAGCTGTCACTATATTTGTGAGAGAAATTTTCTCATAGTGTTCTCACCTGCATAAGTCCTGGTACAATCTGTCAGGCTACATTGTACTCTTTTTTTAGATTTGAAAAGAGAACAGTGTATAATAGCAATTTTAGGAAGGGAAAAAAACTTTGAAATGTTCTTGTTTGTGGCCTTTTTGTCATGCATCTAGCTGCCTGAATTGTTTCACTGTTCAAATAAAACACAAATAAAAATTGTCCATTACTAGAAAAATAAAGTTTAAGGGAAGCTTTAAAGGTTTTTGCTTAATATAATAGTCATATATTTGAAAGTATTAAAATATTTGCCAGTTTTGATTTCCCCAAGTAGCCAAAGTAGTGGTTAAAATTTGAAGTAATACCACAAGAAATCTTAGGATTATACGAAGTATTTTTAAAAAAATATTTTTAAATATAGAAAACATTTCATGGGTACCAGGTGCCACTATATAGAAACACTCATGTTTTTTTGCCTTATTTCTAAAACACTTCAGGCCTGAGGATTTGCGCCGTGAATTTGGTCGATATGGCCCTGTAGTAGACGTATACATTCCGCTTGACTTCTACACAAGACGCCCACGAGGATTTGCTTATATACAATATCCTTTATTTCATTGTATTGTTATTGCGGTGCATTGTTGTTATTGCATCCTAACTTAATGTATTTATTTCTTTGTCTCAGAAAATGTAAAGCAGTCCACAGTGGCTGGCAAGCACCCCAAAGTTTGAATGAACCCGGTTAGATAGAGTCCAAGCAGGCAAGCCAAAAGACACCTTAAAGGTCAAGCTTCAAGGAATAAAGAGGGAGGGTGGAAAAAGATAAAAAGAAAACTGGAAGAGGGAAAGTCCTTTTTCAAGGAAAAAGACAAAGCCACAACACCAAGTTAAGGCTTCGGCTTTCCGACATTTGCACGAGTTCCAAAGTCAAAGCCAAGTCTGATTTGGTTGGTTCTACGGCCCTTGTCAAGTCCATCTAGCAAGCCCAAAAGAGTAACGGTCAAGATCAAGTGACATGGAGGTAACTGACAAAGTTTCCTTTTGTATCTTATCGCTCAAACTCTTACATTTCAAGTCAAGAATTTGTTTGTTTATAACTGTTCTAGTTTTAAATACTGTTTTCTTAAATTAATACAAAATAATTGTATACGAATATTTGTTGGCTTTTCTATTAATTTATTCCCTAACAAAATCAATATAGATGCAACAGTGCTTGTTTTGATTATCTAGCACAATTTTTATATCATCAAAATTTATTTGTTGTAAAAGAATTTAAAAAACAGCAAAATGAAAAGAAAGTCAGATTATGAAAATAAGTGGCAGAATAATATTGGACTATGTTTTCAAATTTTAAACTCTAGTTATCCATTAGGTGCGAATGAAGACCCTTATTGCAAGGTGCATACTGTAACTATATTTGCACCCAAAGATGCACTAGATATATAAGGGCTCAATTATACAGAAAATTCCTTCCTGTCAGGACTTTGGCATTCATATAAAAGAAGAAGCAGATTTGTTACACAAAGATATGCCATTGAAATGAAATGAAGTTAGCCTGTGCAGGAATTTTGTATTTGTTTCAGTGCTCAAAGATTTTTGGATTTAAAATGCATTCAGTCTTCTCTATTTTGTTTGAATATTGAGATGCTTCATATTTTGCAGTATACCAGATATATGTCTTCCATTGCTACAGTATACCAGATACACGTCTTCTATTGCTGTTTTTGATTAGTTTCAGATGTTGATTTATTGCATTTGTTTACTTTAGACCAATATTATGTAAATCTACCCAGTATAATTTACTCAGCAAGTCATGATTAAAACAATTACGTTTATGATGTGTGAATATAGACAAAGTGTGAAGGGAGATTTACATTTCCAAACACAGCTGACCAGAATTTTGAAGTCCCACACAAAATACCCACCAACCTTGTAATAGATAATACTTAAAAATTAAATCTATGTACTAACTTTTGCATGCCTGTGCAAAATTGGAATGATTACATGATAAGGTAATGATACCTTCTATCTATTCTGGGACCCTGGTAGATGCTTCAGCTTGATAGAGTGCAAAGCCAGTAGTGTTTTGAAACATTTAGTGAACACTTGAAAGTGAATAGTGGCCATTGGTTCTTTTTCCTGAATGGGGATGTGATCTTCCTTTCATACTTTACATATTTCTTAGCATATGCCTAAATAAAATGTTGGTATAATTAAGAGACCGCATAGAATATGCAACTGTTAAGTTTTATGTAGAATATAAAAATAAGATAATTTATTTTTAAAACATTTGAATGTGTGGTCTATGCTATATGATACATTTTTTTGCTTTGTGCATGTTTAAAGTGTCCTTAACAGACAGTCATGTTTGAAGATGTTCGTGATGCAGAAGATGCTCTTTATAACCTCAATAGAAAGTGGGTATGTGGCCGGCAAATTGAAATACAGTTTGCACAAGGGGATCGCAAAAGTAAGTGAAAATAAACACATCACTTACTTATTCTGCAAATATTTATTTAACAAAGTAGATTTTCATATTGCTTAGAATGATACAAGCACAAAAACCATGACACTCACAATGGAGAGGGACAGTTTATTAAAATATAAAAGTAATAGCATGCTAACAATGTAAGGCGATTCTGTTTCTTTGCATTCGCCCAGTTTTTGTTGTAATTTCCAGCCCCAGGTCAGATGAAGTCAAAAGAACGTCGCCAATGTTCTCCAATGGATTACAGAAGATCAAGAAGCCGCAGCCGAAGGAGGACACGTAGCCGAAGTTCATCATGGGGCTGGAGTAGAAGACACTCTGACAGCTTTAAAGAGTAAGTTAGTTTCAATATCAACCAGTGTAAAAAAAAAATACTACTTCATAAAGTGGGGCATGATTCAATTGCATAAACTGTTTCAAGATAATATAATGGCAAAGATGGTAACCCGATGGTGAGGGAAAGGAAATGCTGTTCAAAGTCATTTTGGAGTAGAATGGCATAGACAAACCATAAACAAATGAATAATGACTTCTGTTATATGTATAGGTTCAGTGTATCTGTGTCCTTAAAAAATAATTTGAACACAAGGACTAGAGATTAGAGTTGATCCACGATGTAGAGTTAACTATGAATGCTTATATTTTATAACTTTGAAGCACTGAGTTATCTTTGTTTTGCCTTCTGTCTCTTAGTGGTTGTATTCTTGTTGCCGTTGCAAGGTACAAAATGTGCACACAAGATGTACAGAATACAATTCGGAATGTGTTTGGTTTCAACAGAAGGCTAAACAATTTAGGCATGCTGTCTAAGAAAGATCCATCCACGTTCACTTTCTGGGATTGTTTTGAATCCTTTTTTAAACGTCCACAGTAGTTTCCTTAGTTCCAAAACACAACTGGGGACTTTGGGTATATAGTCTGCCTAAAACACACAATAAAGGAAACAAACTGCAGCAATTGTTTGGATCAAACAAAGATCTAATGCTGTGGATGATTTGCAGGTCAAGACGTAGACGGCATTCTTATAGTCAATCTAAGTCTCGCTCAAAATCTCTTCCAAGGCATTCCAGCTCACCAAGACGATCAATCACACCTCAAAGAAATTCTACCTCTCGAGGAAGATCGCGGTCAAAATCAATGCAGAGATGTTCAAAATATGCTGAGAAATCGCCCTCCAGCTCCCATCGAAGACGTTCTACTTCAAGGACAAAGTCACGCTCACATCCAAAGCGCTCAGGTTCAGTGACCAGATCGCTATCTAAATCTCCACGAAAACATGCCAACTCCAGTTCTCGTTCTAGAAGTTTCTATCAGAGAAATAGTAACCAGTCAGTATCTGAAGAAGATTAATGTGTTTTTCTAACAGTTTTTTATGAGCACAAATTAAGAACAAAATTTGTCCAAATGTACCTGAAATGTAAGATAATTGATTAATGAGAGGTGTTGCTATGTTCTTTGGGTCCATATTTTAATAAGCAGAGCTCTTCAAAATTTGCTAGCATTAAATAAACATTTATTTAGCCTAGATTAGTTTCTCTTAACAATACAATTTGAACCTAGGCTCACTCTACTGGTATAAGCTAGCATTATGCTCTGCTCTTAAATCAAGTTTTCTTTTTTGGACAGAATTGTCTTTGGACCTTTCTTTCAAATCTTTGGAACAGCAAGAAATTTATGCTACTGTAATTTTGTACTGGCTTAAGGGTTCACACAGGTCTGTCTGGTACTTTGTAGTGGAGTTGGAAGGGAAAGCCTTTGTCTACCCATTTCTACTTACTTTAGTAGGTATTGCAGTATAGTTGTGTCAGCCAGAAATATGGAGATGCTGATGGATCAGATTTTCCATTCCACCAATGCAAGTCATTCCCCCTCCCCCTGAAATTTCCAAGCAACATTTAAGAGGAGATGAGCATGCAGAAGTGAGTAAAAATCAAAGTAAAATTACATGCAATTCAATGCTTAAATGGCAGGTCTGCCCTCCGGATAGGATTAAGTGTTCCAACAATTTGGATTTTATATTGTTTATGTTAATAATTTTGCTGCTGTTGACCTTATTTTAATTGGCGCTATTTGGTGCCTTTTTGGTGATACCAAGATTTTATTTGAGGACAACCATTCATGTATATTCTTAAGGCAAGTATCTTTTAAGAAACAAAAATTGATAGGAAGGCACTGCAACTCAAGTTGTAAAGCTTCTTTAAATTAAAGCTTGTCTGTGTTTCTCTAAAGCATGTTAACAGTGTAAACGGGGATACTTGTATAATATATAGAGATACATGTATGACATAAGATAGTAGAAGTCTAGCATTTGTCTTAATTTCATATTTAAAACTGATTAGATCTGGCAATTTCACTTCAGACTTTTATTTGAAAAGAAAGTAATACTGTGGAATTTTCTGGAACTAAAATTACGAATTTACACAAATGATTTATAACATTGCATTACATTAGATCTCACTTCTGTTGTCAAATGAAGGTGAATTTCAGGAAATCATTATTTTCCCGTAAATGATAAAATATGGTTGAACATTGGATTTCTAGAATGAATGTGGCTTGTGAAAGGGTGTATAAGGACACCAGTGCAAATGAAGTGCTAGACATTCCCCATTTGATCAATAAAAAAAATAATTTGCGTGCAAATAAAAAAAGAGCTTGACAGTGAAATGCCAAGTCTAGATTTTTTTATTCTTGGACGGGCTGTCTCTGCTGTAAAGAGCTTAAAACAAAATACATTTCATAATATAATTTCCATTTGCAGACTGAACTGATAAAGTTCACTTTCTGGTTACATACTGCTATTTAGTAGAAATAGCTTTTGCTCTTGTGCAGCAATCTTTTTTCAGCAACATGAATAATGATCACATGATTAATTTGATTGAAATTAGTGCTTATGGAAAACAGATTAGTTAAACAGGTTTTTTAAAAGGAGATAATTAGAAATATAAGATAATTTGGGTTTGTAATAAAAGTTGTTAAGCACATGATTTTCATGTGTGGTTAAATGTTTTTGTGAAACTCTTAACATTTGTTGTGTAAAATTTATCACATCTATATTTTCAAAATATCATTGTAGTAGGTGATCAGTATAGATGACACCAACAAGCATTTTAAATTCTAAGCCTGTAATATGATTTAACAGTTAAGCGACTCAGTATAAAGTCATTATTAGTGTGTTTAACTCAAGTAACAAAGGGTATTCTAATTTTTTTTTTGTATTTTACAATATATCACACTTTGCATTGTGTAGTAATTGGAAACTTACTATTTGTTTTTTAAATGTATGGTAACCGTGATGTCTGTTACATGGTACAAGCACTGCATTGTATTAAAATAATTGTAGTGGCAGTAAAACTACATTTCATGAGCAAGTGTTGGGAGTATCATTGTTATTTCATAACTTAAGGTATTTCAATAAAATACATGCAGTTTTCATCTTTGCTTCTTTAAACATGTGTTTGCTTTCAGAACTTGTAAATTGCTCGCAATAGAATCAGACTGACTTTTCTTTTGTATTGCAGGAACCATAACCAACAAAGTTCTTATGGTCTCAGGTTGCTTGAAAGGACTGGTGCCATATAGGGGAAATTCTGCAGTGTTCTTCTTATTGTGAGTGTTAGCTTTTGAAGATTAATGCTGTCATGAAGAGCTCTTACACTAGAGACATTCCCCCAAGCTGTTTTGCATTGTTGGGAATGTTACAACCATTTCCTTTCTACATCTCTCCAAGATGATGCATGGATGGAACGGAAATAACTTATTTTATTTCAGAACTTAGTAGTCTGATACAGCAGACATGCACTTAGAATTAACTGAGTTCACAATTCTTATATATGAACATAACCTCTGGTTATCCCCAGAATTCCTTTATTAGCAGCATAACTTGGATTGGGAGTTATTTTGTTACTGCTTGTTAAACAGGTGTGACATTACAAGTGTGACCTGATTGGCAAACCAGAAGCCTGGTAGCTTACGTGCTTCATTTATTATTGGCCAACTTTGGTCATTGAGATAGCACAAACTTGTATGTGACTATTCTGAAGTAATCCTCAGTAATGTTATTGAAGGTGATGATCATTTATCGCTAAATCAGAATGACATGCTGCTAAATTCAATTAAATCACTGTTATGATTTGGTATGTACATATATACCACCCTCTCAGCTTTGTAAGACAGGAAGCAGTTCCAGATAAACTAATTCTACTTTATTACATAATCTTTCAAGTCTGAAAGTACATTTCTCTTGGTTGCTTTTACAGCCCCAGAAATTAGGGAGAGGATCCCTTCTAAGAGGTTTGCAACACCCACACTCCTGTGGGCTAACTGCTCCTCTGGGTATGGCTCTTCTCTGTTTCCCAGTCATTCCCACTGACCTTTCGGGCTCAGTTTGTAGCTCTGTGCTCTTTTATGGGAAAGGGCAGATCTTTGGAGAAGCCTCAAACTTCCTTAATCTCTCTCTAAAAAAAACAAAAAAATCCTACCATGTTTCTCCCTGCCCATTGTCACTCTGGGACTGTAACTGGGGTGCTGGGAATAAGGTGATACCTGTGGATTACTCATCAACCAGCAAGACTATGGTTTATTTGTTAACTATAGATATGCAAGTGTTACGTAAACACAGTCTGTGTATGAAATAAGAGGCAGCCAATGCATATAGCTCCTGCAATCACCTGTATTTACTCTTAACCATGAGAATACTTCTTTCTTTTCCTCATCATTTAAACAAATTGCAAAGTAGGATTGCCCGATAAATTGTATTTTACATTCCCGAGGACTGAGAGAAATAGCAGAAAGGCTGCATTAGGCACTGTTTTTTTCAAAGCACTTTATCAGACAATATTACAAAACTTTAAATTTTTGCAATTACCTCATGTGTATAGTAATTATTATAGACAGGGCTGGGCAAAATCTTGACAAATAAAAAAAACTCTATGAACCTAAGCATAAATCTATGAGCTGAAGCAGATATCATCTTGATTCACCCCAGCTGTTGAATTCAGAAAAAGCTGAAATCAAAATGAATTCAGGTGAGGTTAAGCTATAAAACAGTATAAGCAATTTGCAGTCTGTGGACTATTTGTAACCCTCAACCCTTTTATTTTTAAAAAATACCCGAGCCTACAAAAATGGCCTTGTATGCCTTGAAATAAGCTTAACAGTCAAAAATGCAAAGAAACTTGCAAGGTGTCTCCTGAAAGGCAGGGCTAGGGATAATAGGACAACAACTGTAGCCAGGATTTTGTCCACTCTTTTCCCATAGGCATCAGACTGCATTCCTAGACAGCATCTCTGATATGAGTAGATCTTTCTTCTAGGGTCATAGATAACCATCTGCAATTATGTGCTGATGAAATTGAAGCTGCCTCCTACTCATCTTCCTTCAAATTGGGCATGACTCAAATCACGCAGTCTCCTAGGCAAATTTTCAGAAGTGAGTTGCCATTGCCTTCTTCCCAAGGCTAAGGGATGGTGACTGGCTTACAGTTACCCAATTGGCTTTTTGTTGAGGAACCCAGAAATGATGGAAAACAGCTTCTTTGGCATTAGCTTCTTTTTGTTTTCTCTGCAATTTTTACTTATACCCAATTTGGTTTCTTCTGTTTCTTGTTCTTTGGCAATGTCTTTTCATATTCACTGATAATGGTTTTATTTCATACTGTAGTTTGTCTGGTAACTGATTCACTATCAGTGGAGTTCAAGATTTCAAAGCAATTCCTGATATTCTCTTTGAAAATGGTTATAAGCTTAAGATCATATCGTGGAAATTGGTTGTAGTTCGTGATCTATTCCATAGTCTGTCTACATGAGCAATTCATGATCTTTACTGTAGAACTGAGCTGTTCCAATGCCTTGTACCAATAATATTGTCAGTTTGATTTCTATGTAACCCCAATGGTGTCCATGTACGTAGGTGGTGTTCTGATTGTTTGAAGATCATTTGGCTTTTTAAAAATTCATTGAAACAGTTAAAACGAAATTGGTATAATATACAATTTAAAATGAAATTGGAAAAGAATACAATAATTTAAGATATAGATAAAATATGATAAAATTATATTTCAGTGTCACCCCTGCAATCTACCCCAATCAAGTTCCACATATGCAGATCTCAACTGAACCATTTTGCTTAAGTACTGTGCTGTGTTAAATGTTATTTTCAGATTCTGGTCGCACATACGTTGTTTTGATATGAGAATCCCAATGGGTCATTTGTTTGGTACATAGACTGAGGTATCTGTCTCTCACCCTCTTATACAGGCAACAATCAAATAGGATGTGAGACAGGCCTGGTCTTGTATTTTATCCAATTCCATTTTAAATTGCTTTTATCAAATTTTAGTAATTGTTTCTGGAACTTAGCACTTTGATATGGCCCAATGGCAGGCAGGCAGGCAAGCAAGCAAATAAATAAATAAATAGTTTAAACAATTACACAAAGATAAGCAATCTGAACTTTGGAAATTGACCTTGAGCAGAGAAAAGGAAGAGTGGGAGAGAAGAGGGAAAATAAGAGGAGAGAAGAAACAGACAAAGATCTATAGTAATCACCTTATTAGACAGTTCAGAAGTTTGCTACAATTGCAATTTTATTGTTTGATACCCAATTTCTACTATGTACCTCTTATGAAGAAAGAATATGGCCAGCTGAAGGGGGAGGGCTTAATAGATCAGTTTTAAAAATTGAAAAGTAGAGCTATATTCAGTGCCTGGTGTGACAATTTAAATACTGTTTTTAACATTGCAAGGAAGTCATTTCCAGTGCTAACTGCTCATAATATTAAAACATCTGACACTGACAAAAATATTCAGATAATCAGACAATGGGACTGATAGGAAATTGTAACTAAAAAAATAAGATATTTATATTTATTAAGATGAATTGAGAAAAAAAACTGCCTTCAAAGTTCTGGAATCTTAAAACTTTAAGTCTTAAATCTTTGAAAATAACTACTGTAATGGCGAATCCAATGTCACTTTAAGATTAACAGATGTATCATTGTTCTTTCACTCAGGAAAATCCATACTTTGGTCTATGAAACATACACAGACATACGGCCTATCTGTGAAAGTGTGTAGCAATTAAGCTTAGAGCTTAACTGCAAACAAGCTGTAGAACAAGCAAGATGTTGTTGAACATCAATAAACTTGCTGGGAAACAGATTTCTATATATTCTCATAGATTTCAAGAAGCTGGGAAGAAAACAGGAAATTAAGATGAAATAAGATGGACCTGTTGAAGAGTTTCATTTGATGGGGGTAGCTCACTCAAAACTCCTGAAGGGATTGTGAATAGGATCTGGACAGGATTACTGAAGAAGGAAGGGATCAAAGGGGGAAATGATTATTTGAAAGGGAATCACCTTCCAGAGAAACATTTATGACCCTATTCTGCCAATCTGAGGAATTGCCAGCTAAGCTTAATACGCTTGTTTTACTCTGAGAGAAAGTAGGAGGGAGCAATTGTTGCACATACAGGGCATAAGCAGAAATTTCACTTTTCAGGCAGGACAATCATGTACCTTTAATAAGATGCTTAAGACCTGGTTGTTCGACTTCCGGTTTGTCGGCTTCGCAAGCGGCAAGGATTCGCGACACTGCGCGATCCCTGCTGCGCTAGCCGTTTTTGGTGCTCCAACCCGGACGGGTCTGGAGCTAAGGCTGCCCTGTAGGGGTGGCTGAAGACAAGGGGGATCCGGAGTGAGGTTTGGGGGTGTTGCAGACCCCCTTCCCAGCCGGCAGAACCCCCTTTTCCCAAGACGGTGCAGCGGCGGTCCGTAATGGCCGCCACAAAGAAGCTGGCAGCCAGGTAAGAATGCGCAGGAGGAAGTGGAGAAAGCTTTTGAAAAGAGAAAGTTTTTTTGGTTCCCGGGACTCTGAGATATATTTAGCAAAATTCCTGGAAATTATGGCTTTCTGAATGATTCTTTCCACAAGAGAAAATAAGCGGCAATTTGGTGGTGCTGAAAGGAAAGTTTACTCTCCTTCCCTACGGAATTAATAAGTGGATATTAAGAAACTTATTTTTTTTAGGTAAAAACTGGCTTTGGGTGATAAGTGAGAAGGGAGAGGACTAAAAAAAATATTTGTATGCTAAGACTTTGTTGGAGGAGATGCCTTAAGGATTTGAAGACTGAAATATATTGCAATAAGACTTTAAGAAACAGATTTGGACTTTCTTTTTTTCTGATTGATACTACCCCAGGAAGAGAAAGTGAGAACTTTGCCTTGGCTTGGACTGATTGATAACTTTGGGACTGTTTTTTTTTTTTTTTTGAAATATCTTGGTTGCTGCAAGAAGAAAGAAGGGGAAAAGAAAAGATTTATAATGGCTTTTTCTGTTGAGGAACTGAGAAAAGAATATGAGCAAACAAAAAAAGATGGTAAAGATGGTTTGAAAGAAGCCTTCCTTTTCTTAGAAATGGCGCTTGCTAACTATCAACAAACATTACAACAGATGAAGACAGCAGAAGAAGGAGAGGAAGAAGCCATTTTTAATGAATTTCAGAATTTAACCAAGAAAGAAGGAAGAGGGAAAGGAAGAGAAATGAAGGACTTAAGATTTAAAAAAACACTTAAGAAGGGGAAAAATAAGGTGCAAAATCAATATAATGATAGTAAACAAAAGGAAAAAGGAACACAACAGAGAAGGGAAGCCAGTAAGGCAGAGGCTAGAAGAAGGGGGGGTAGAAAGGTTTGGTGGGGGAAGAAAGGAAGGAAAAAGGTGGAGAAAAGCCACAAAGTTTTGAAACTAGATGGGAAAAAAGGAATCTTTTTTAGGGATAAAGGGTAAAGTATAAATTCTTCAAAAAAGATTTTGCAAGGTACATAAGATGATATCGTAGCATTGTATTAGAAATAGAAAACTAAAATGGTTTAAGAGTTGATAAGAGATCAAAATGTTTAGTAATGATTGATTTTAAAATTTAACAATATTAAAGGGAAGGTTTAGAATATTGAGTTTTAATTAAAGAGTTTAATAAGATTATGGTATTGATGTTATTATAAAAATTTTATTATAGCATTTGTTTTTGGAAAAGGCAATGGGAATGTTATAAGATTCAATATTTAGATCTACTGCTTAACTATGTATTTAATTATTTTGGATTTACTATTTAGATAGAACGTACCAAGCAGAATCGGATTGGGTATTGGGTGTTATTTTAAATGTTAATTTGATTAATTTAGGGGGGAGATAGAAAGGCATCATACTCTGATTAGTGATTTCAGGAGAAATTCTTTTTTTATTATAAGGAACGAGACAAAGGGACAATAAAGAATGGACAAAAGATACAAATATAATGACTCAAATTAAGATGGATTAATTAGGATAGAATTAAGAAGAGTGAAATGTGTGGAGAAGCTAGTATAGAAGACTTAGAATGGTAAATAAAATAAGTAATGACGTGTAAGATGAGCATGAATACAATTGAAGTCCATGAAGAGAGAAATACCTGGGACCAAGTTACTTTCCTAAAAGATCTTTTTTTTTTTTATGTCTTGTGTGTTGTGTGTTTATGTTTCTGGGAGAATTAATAAAACCTTGCAGAAATATAGAATGAGAATGATGGTAGCCAAGTCAGAAAGAAATAGATGAAATAATAATAATGAAATTGAGGAAAAGTGAAGAGAAACTGGATAAGAGGTTTTTGTATGCTTATATGGAAATGGTTTAAAATAGAATTATAGGTTTTATCTGACTTGTTAAATTTATAATGGAAAAAGGTTTAAGTATGTAATGGTTAATGATGATTTGTTTGTTTCTGAAAAATTAATAAAACTTGTTTAAAAAAAAAAAGACCTGGTTGTTCATCCAGGCCTTGAGCTAGAATGAGCCTTTTTGGTTGATTATTGACTTCTTGGCTTTTGGAGTTGGTCTTGGTTGACTGTCTCCCCCCTCTCTTTTTTTATGGAGCCTCAAAACTGAAACTATCTTCCTGAAGACATCGTCTGCACAATGTACAACACATATTCCCTTCACTCAGATATGGCAGATCATACTGGGGCAGCCCAAGGGAACAGATCAACTGACGTTAGAGATAGTTACCTTATTCATATCATATGGTTTCATACTAGCTTGTCTACATCACACAGCTCTTTCAATTTGTGAGCAGTATGGTCGAAATATTTTTACATTGTGGGCGGTACTAGTACCCAGTTGTGGAATTAAGAGATTCTTTCACTGAGTTCACAAAGGAGCTGTGCAGATAGGACACAGCAGTGTGAGCCATATTGGAGTGAGGCAGCTCCCTACATCACCAAAAGAGCCAGATGCTCCAAAGGTCTGTCATTAGCAAATTACATAGTCTTGCAATCCAGCTGATATAACTAGATTTGCAACAAGTAATTAAAAGGAGCAGCAAATCCAGCTTTATTGAACATGCTTGCCTTGAAAGAATCTTTTGGACTTGTGCAAAAGCCTGCCATTTTGCATATACGACACCATCAGCAGAAAGGCCAAAACTATAGGTCACAACAATTCATACATGTGTACATAGGATCGAGGTCTATTGATCAGCCACAGATCATGAAGGCAACATGTATGAAATTTGGTAGACCTATAAGCAATATATGGTTTATACTATATGCCAAGGCCAAAATCATTGTTACAAGAAAAATATAGTCAAGACTGATACATGTCACATTCAGCAAGAATACAATTTACTTCCATTAGCTTGTAGTGACTCTTACAGTATATGAGAGCAGTACTTTGATCCTTTAGTGCGTTGTAATGAACTAAGTCAAGGATTACGTATACTGTACATTGTCTGCCTTTGTGAAAACATGCAGCTTTGAAATACTATCCCATCTGTCATTTTTCAAGCCTTTTGAAGTTTCTACAGAATGTTGCTTGTTGCTTTGGAAAATGTGACCAGAACTGGATTTATCCAAACCATTGTTTTATTCCACCTAAAAATATATTGAACATGAAGGATGATTTCTACCAAAATGGGCTAAACTGTAGTTCTATTAAACAAAGATTCTTGTTACATATTTAGCAAAATATAGTTTTCATGGGGCCTAGATATAGCACTAGGTGTGTGCAATGCTATTCGATCCAGAGGGTAAGGTGCTTGTGTGGAGATATCAAGTAGCATTTGTTGGCACTTCCTGAAATGAAATGTACAATATTTATTTCTGGGATTTTACAGCAGCCTGAAGCAGTCTTGGAAAAATAAAAGGTTCTAAGGAATTGTTGCCAGTTGCCACACAACTGTGTACCACAAAGCATCTTTCCTCAAAGTATGGAATAGTTCTAACGACAATGTTTTTCTTATTAAAATCAGTGCTAACTGTATTTCAGGGCTGGGGTTAATGTTCTTTGTCTTTATTGTAAATTAACCATACTGTAATATAACTTGGAAATAATTGTCTTTTTTGTTACTTCCGTATACAACTTGTACTGCTCCCAAAATGATAGTGTGCAGCTCATTGTTACAGAAACCGAACATCTCAGTTTTTTGTGACATTCCCTTTCATCTGTTCTGGAAGTTTTGTTTCTGGAAAATATACAAATTGTTCCCATAATGACACATTCCAGGTAAACATCATGTTATTTCTGAATGAGCTTGATAAGGAACAAGTAACTATATACAGCCTGCAGTTAATGTTGGGAATACTGCTGAAAAAAATACCATGAAGATGTGATTGCATTTTCAGTAGTGTACAGAAGACATCTTCTTCCTTTAAATACATTATCAAGAGCAGGGGTGGGCAAACTTTTTGGCTCGGGGGCCGCATTGACTTTTAAAATTTGACAGACGGGCCGGGTCAGCACAATATTTTTTGGGAATCGCCCCCCCTTCCCCCCCTTCTCCTCCTTCCCCTCCCCTCGGAGGCCCTCTGAGTCAGGAGTTGCTACCGCCGGCGCGGCTCCGCGCGGCTCCAGTCCCGCGTTGCCTCGGGAAGGGAAAGGCAAAAAGGAAGAGCCGCGGCGGTGCTTTGCAACAGGAGCAGCGGCACCGGAGGCTCAGGCTCAGCAGCTCCTGGTTTTGCCTTTTCTTTCCCAAGGCAACGCGGGACTGGAGCCGCACGGAGCTGCGCCGGCGGTAGCAACTCCTGACAGCCCCAGCCGGACACCTGAGCGGAGCCCGGGCGCAACTGCCTCTTGCTGCTGCCGGAGCACCGCCGGGTCGCCTCCTCCAAGCAGCCTGCCCGCCCACCGGGCTTCCCCTCTGCCGCGCGGCTCGGGGCCAGGCGCAAGCGCCCGCGAGTTAAAAGGAAGCCGAAAGTTGCTGGGAAGTTGCTCGGGTGCTGGGAGCAGGCTTTTAAAGTGCCGCCCGAGCAAAGTTTAAGCCTGGAAGCCCTGGAAAAAAAGGGGATCGGCGGGGACTCACCTTCGGAGAGGTCGCACTCGAAGGTGATTTCGAACTCCCAGCCGAGGCCTTTGCAAATTTCTTTCCTACCCCTAGATCGCTCCGCACTGTTTTGCAGCTTTGGGGGCCACGCGGCACAGGGCAATTACGCCACACCCAGCGATTTTTTTTCAGGGGCGGGCCGGATTGGACAGACCAATGGCAGCGATTTTTTTTCATGGGCGGGCCGCATTGGACAGACCAACGGGCCGGATGTGGCCCGCGGGCCGTAGTTTGCCCACCCCTGGTCAAGAGTCTCCTATTAATTATACAGAAGGGTACTGTACAGCCATATCTAAATTCAGCAAAATTAAATTTACCTGAGTAAATGGAAGAACTCTGACCTGCCTATCTCAGTTGCAGGAAAATATATGCTTTGTTTGGGGCCTTGGCTATTGTGTGTTTGTGTGTGTGACCATTAGGCCTCTAGGCCATTAGGACTATCACTGTTAAGGTTATGGAATACTGCATCAATGTGTCCGATATGCAATCTTCTTAATATAATGCAGTGAACTAATCATAAAAAGAAATATTGTAAAATACATTATTTAAGTTTCTAAATAATAATTCTAGCAGTTAGAAAATGTAACCTGTATTGCTGACATAAAATGCTTAGCATTTGATACTGCTTTTCAAGATTAAGCCAGACAGAAAACACATAAAAAATAACCACCAAGTAAGGGGGAGGCCAAATTTTTTTATTTAATTTTTTTTAAAAGTAGCCAATTATTTCTGGTAGATAGCACTGTTACCTATGTTAGATAATAAGTGCTACATTTCAGGTGTCAAATGCCAAAGTTTGTATGGAAGCTTGTATGGTGTAATTGAATTTAACTCCATATATTGTTTTCAAACAAATTCACATCTTTCTGAAAACTTATTTTTCAATAAAACATTGTGTGCCATGGACTGTAAAATTTTTTCCAGTAGTGCAACAGTAATGCTTTCACATTTCCATTTGAAAAGTAATAGATTTTTTTCCTTTGAAAAATCTTAATACCTTGTGCAAAATGTTGACAGATCTTTCCATGTGTCAAACACATTTTAAAAAGATGTCCATTATTATGTACAAAAGCCATCTACCGCATGGGCAATGTAAAATACATCCTTTCATAACAAAACTAAAATGTACCTCAAAATATGAATATACACATTACATGATATACATTATTTACATATCCATAAAAAATTAGAATACAGGTTTCTGTTTTTAAGACTAGTCAGTCCTTTGAACATCAAAATGTAACAAGGCTGGATTCAGATTGCTGGCATGTTCTTTGTCAGTATCCAGAAGCTATGCTTGAACTTTTAAGAGTGTCTTTAAATGGACTGCCATCATCTTCCTGTTTTGGTCAGAAAATTCAACAGTGCTCCCAACCCAGTGACTGGGAGGCTTTGGAAGGACACTGGGTGAAGGAGGATCACTAAATTTTGCCCCAGCGTAACTTTCTTTTTGGTTAGCTTCTGTCACAAAAATAGATTTCTTTGCTTTAAAATTTTCTGTATTTTTCAAAGGCTTTTTCTCCTGCCTTTTAATGAGTTCAGATGATAATGATTCTTGCCAAAATGTATTTTCACACTTTTTTGTAGATGGAAATTTATTTAGTGGTATGTTACATTTACTCCTCTGTCTGTTACTCTTTGATTGGTCAGATAGATGCATATTGTGAACAGGCTGATTGTAAGGAAGCGGAATCTTCTCAGATTTTCCAATCCTGTTTTTGAACAACTGCAAAGATAGAAGATAATCTCATAAATATTTCTGACAATAATATGTAATCTCTTAATATTAAATAATCCTTTATCCAGTTAATCCTTTATTCTGTTACATGTTAGCTTAAAGTTCCATATAAAAATAAAAGTCTCACCTAGCTATAAATTGCCTGTTTGCACTTCACAATTGTTGTCAAATTGTTTATCCTTTTCCTTCATTTCCTGGTTTGCCTTCAGTTTGTAAACTAGTCAGGACCTGTCTCACTTTAGAGATAATAGTTTTTGAGATAGCACTTGTCTAAAAATCATAATTAAAAATTTAAATGGAAACAAGTAGAATTCTTAATACTAAATCTTAATACTAATCCTATACAGATGTATGCTTCAATCCAACTAATCTCAAGAATAAATTAGAGATTACTGCCTAAATGGCTGAGGAATGCACTGCTACATGATATGAGAATCTTTACAATCAATCAGACCATTGCTGTTATTTTGTATATTCAACTTTTAAAACTCTGGATTAACAGAATAATGTAACTTCTCTAGCTAGCCAGAGGTTCCCACTGAAATGACAGATTACAGTTCTAAGGATCTGACGATTTCATAGCTGTAATACTGTTTTCTACAAAAATGTATATTCTCAAGAACACATTTTAAAATAAATAATGTCCCTAAGTGAGAAACAATGTCAGTTAAAACTAAGGTACTAGAAGTCCTCAACTTGCAACAGCTCATTTAATGACTGTTCCCCATGGTCACATGATCAAAATTCAGTCTCTTGGCAACTGACTCATTTATGCCAGTTGCCATGTCCCTGAGTTACCTGATCCCCTTTTGCCACCTGACAAGCAGAGTCATTGGGGAAGTCAGATTCACATAACCATGTTACTAACTACATCTGCAATGATTCACTTAACGGTTGCCAGAAAAGCCCTAGAACTGGACAAAACTCACTTAACAAGTGTCTCGCTTAACAAATTTTGCGCTCCATTGTGAGGCCTACCTATATAAACCATCCGATTATACTACGTTGCAAACGCGATAAAGATCTCGGGAGGGGGAAAACTACGAAAATGGAAGAGCCCTCAGCAGGAAAGAGTGGATTTTCCGTAAGCTCTCCCTAAGGCCTGGAAGATCGGGGTGGGTGGGTGTCAAGCTTAAAAACATTCAGACTAGTTGCCTGCCAGGATGAAGCATAAGCCACAAGGGCCCTTCTGTAACTACGTCTTCCAAATCAAAGTCATACTCATACATCATATACAAGATTAAGAGAAGCTCAAATCGAACAATTCAAATTGACAGGTAACTCCCCTCTCCGGATTTTTTTTTTGGGGGGGGGGAGGGGGCGGCATTTTCTCGGTAAACAAGCGCTCCCCGCCCCCCCACAGCGGGCACTGCGAAGTGAAACCGAATCATCTGCCTCCGCCACGGAGGCGGCCCGCCCTCCCCCGTTTCCTATTGGTCAGGGCCTTCGCGTCGCTCTGCCGCTTTCGCCTGAGCCCAGGGGCCGACTCCGTCTGTTGCTGGGCGCAGGCTCGAAGCCGATTGGCGCGCCCTTTCCACCTATCCGCGCCCGTGGAATCTCCCTGCGGCGGCTGGCTTGATGTAACGGAAACTCGGCCCCGCCCGCCGAGCCTGGAGCGGACTCCGCGCGGCTCCTCCTTCGAGTTTCGAGCAAGAGCTGCTTTTCGGCCCTGTGGTTGGTTCGCCTCACCTCTTTTCTGAAGGGCTTGTTTGAAACGACCGGGGTCGTTCTTGGCGAAGGCGCCGGAGCTTCCTCGCCGGAACGTCCCGTTTCTAATCCAGAGTCTGACGAAGCGGTGGAGACTTCGCAGCGGTTGCGCGTCCCTTGCGCGGCGTTCCTTCGTCCCAAGCCGGCGCGGTGTTGCTGGAATTGCTGGTAGCAGCGACACTGTAAGAGGCCAGAGGGAGCAGAACGGATCTTCCCTCTTCGTCGCCTGACTCTCTTCAGCGATGGTCTTGCGCTACCGTTTGGTCCTAGTCCCGGACAGCAGCCGGGTTGGGGGCTTTCGCTGCTGTAGTCTGCCCGCAGGAGTCGTTGAAAAAGGGACGTAGGAAACGGACGATGGTCCTCAGTACCGTCTGACACCCGGGCTAGAAAGGGCGAAGGCGCTGTGGTAGTCACCATGGTGAAGGCTTAGAATATATGCGCAGCAGCGCAAGGGCAGGGAGGAGCAAGGGGGAGGGAAAACAAAAACAAAAAACCGGGGAAGGAGGGATGGGACTGCTGAGCCTCGGCCGGAGCCGAAGCTTCGCTGGTCGAAGCGAGCAGATCCTCTCTCAGGAGAACATGGCGGGGGAGTGAAGCGAGGAACCTCAACGCCCTACTGTTGTTACTCCGAGAAGGACCCGCCCTCTTCCCGTTGACCGCCAATCAGAACAAAGCGGCAGCGGGAGCTTCCGCCTCCTGTCCAATCAGCAGAGAGCTCGTTCGTTTACGGCATCCGCGAAACCAATCCGGGCAGGCGTAAAGCTTGCAAGGAGGTGGGACGGGGGTGTGTGTGATCACTCTTCCAAGAGTCCTTTAAAGTTTTCTGTGGGCCGTAGCAGCTCGTCGTGGTGGGCGGGGTGTGTCCTTTTGTCTAGAGACAGGCCGCCCTTCCGAATTCGGTAGAATTCTGAGTAAACAAGCCTAGGAGTGGCCCTGTGGGGCGGTGGCGGTGGCGGCGTCCAATCACAAGGACGGCAAGCTGCTTAGCCCGCCTCTCATTTGTGTGAGCGCAAATCCGGAAGGAGGAGGAGAGTGGGAAGTGGTCGCCTGCCCAAGGAGAAGGAGTAAAGAGCGGGAAGTCCGAAGGAACGCCGGCGGCCGGCTATGGCAGAGGAAGAGGCGGCAGCAGTAATGTTGGTACCGCGAGGCCCGGAGACTGCGGGGTTGCTAGAGGAACGCGATGGTCCCGTGCGCCAGGAGGAGAGTCTTCCCCACTTGGTGGCCACCGGCTTAGATCATCATCATCAGCAGGTCTGGCTGAGCTCTTGGATGGGTGCCTCCTGCCAAATTCCGGCTATCGATCCCAAGGCGCTGCAGGACTTGGCAAGTCTGGCCGTCCGGGTGGCGACGCAAGTAGAGGACCTGCTGCGAAACGTGCAAGGCGCCCTGCAGGCTCTGACGACCCTCAGCGTGGGCTGCATCCAGACCTACCGAGATGGGGTGGAGAGCCTGGGAGAGGCCGTAGACACAAGCATCCGCTCCATGTACACGCTCATGGCCCGCTGCGAGGAGCTGGATCTGGAGCTGCAGCCGGTACCGGCCCTGGCCAGATCCATCCGGGACATGAAGAGTGCGCTGGACAGACTGGAAGGCCTCTGCAAATAAGTCTACTGGGCTGCTTTTCCTGCTGGCCTCTCGGACCTTGAAGCTTGTCTCCAGCCAAGAATGCCTGTCTCTTAATAGGGTTGGTCCCTTTAATAAACAACCAGTTCTTCCTCAGTTTCTGCTCCCCTCTCTTGCAACAATGCCAGTCAAGAAGAACCCATAGTTTCCTTACACATAAGGGGTTCTGTAAAATCCTCCAAAACATTTAGTCTTGATAATAAATTGTATGTAGTCTGCTCCATATATGTTTAGTCAGAAATAAGTCCTAATGTGTTTGGTGAGGCATACGTGAAAATAAAAGATGCAAGATTTTAGTCTTGAATTGCCACACAATAGAATTCAATTCCTGAATAAATGTGTAAGTTGAACTGCAAACTGAATAAAACATGCTTTTTATTTGTAACTGTTTATGTAGGCATATATGACATTCTTAACTGCATCATTTTGTAGGCTTATTGAGATAAATTTGACAGAGGACAAGGTTAATATCTAAACTTTGTTCACACAGAATTGTTTATATGAGCAATATTAGCATTTATCTTAACGTTTAATATTCATCTAAATTTCCAGGTAATTTTTATCTTGTTTTATAGGCTTATATTGGTTGAAGTTTGAAAATACTGGAAATAAAAGTGAAGCAACATCTATTTTCCGTATTCACAAATCAGCCAAGCCACATTACTTAGACTAAAATTCCTGCAGGGCAATGACATAATATTGAAAAGATGCAAAGTAATAACTGATTTGGGAATTTCTAGGGCTACAATCTGCCCTCATTTATGAACTGACTGAATGATGTTTAAGAAAGTCAACTATGTACAAATCCCAAGATGTGGCATAAAACATGATTTGCATATATGCTGAAACTAAGCAGGCTGATGGCTAGTAAGTGTTTGAATATGTTGTATGCAGCATGTTGGTGAGCATTGGTTGGTTTTTGGGATCAGCTTAGTCCTTCAGTAGAATCACAAGGACGACCAGGCAGGAGAGTTAAGGAGGAAGTGCTTCTTAATATATATTTAGTTTGGGAATTTATTGTCATTATTAGAGATGGACCTGGAATTTCAGCATAAATCTTGTCATGTATATAGTGATAATATTCTCCAGATTTTCTTGATTTAGTCACTTTAAAATGGGAAAATACTTTAAAAAGCAATAAAGATTTATCAAGAACCTACGTCATTGTTCATCATGCTAAAATGTATTACAGATTCTTTTCTAATTTCTGTACAGACCTGATATACAGTGCCTTGATTCCTATAGAAAGATGAAATGTAAATGTCTACTATTTTTTGATTCTGTCTATAATTACCTTGACAATGTTGTGACTGTTAGAAGTGGCTTCATCTCTCTAGTAATCTCTTTTGATCTAGAATTTGCTCTCAGGTACCAGTCATCTATGAAACATTAATTATTGACTTGTAAAACTATTAACAAAACAAATAATCTATGTTGATAATGTTTACCATTTAAAACATTAACAAAATGGTAAAGTATGAACTGTGTTCTTGGGTTTTATTGTTGAAATAAAAAGTCTGAAATAAAAGATACCGCTTCTCTAAAAATGTTAGAGGTTTATGCCAACTTAAGGATCAAATCTCCACTGTACAAGCTTTTGTGCGGTCAGTTACATGGTGAATTGTAATAAATTTTGTTACTTTTCAAACCTTAAGTTTAAATGTTATAAAACAGAAGCATGGTACTGTGAGTTTACTGCAGAAATTCAACATACAGTAGTTGCTAATTTGGAAACAGCTGTTTTCCTGTTCTATTAGAACTTTATAGTTAAAGCCATATTACATAGATAAAAGGTGAATATTTTATTAATAGGGTTTAGAATAAAACCTTTCATAATCATGCTTTTTTAATCTGGTAAGTTTTTCAGATATCGTTAATATCTCTAACTTAGTTATTATCCTAATCCTGTAGTTAGAAAGTATTTTGATACTTTGTAGTTGGTTGTGTTTGCTAAAGATACTAACCTCTTAAACCAAATTTCTGGAGTCACCCAACATACCTAGTAAAGTACTATAAACTAATCATAGGACCTTGGTTTGCACAACAGACTAAAATACACTATGGTTGGCTAGTTTGTGGTTCAATGTGAGTACTGTTTTTGAGTTATACTCTGGCAATGGAGAGCATGTGAACATGTGTCACAACATGCAGAAACATTTTTTAACAATAATTAAAGCGGTTACGCTGTTGCAAAGCTGACGTGGGATGAAAATGGCTTCCGGCTATCCCCGCAGGCCTGTATGTGTGCAACTGCTTTGCTTTCAGGACAGCCAGGTACAGCTTACAAAGCAGCCATCTGTGCTTTGCAAAACCACTGCTGCTCTGATAATTCAAAAAGAGGGGTTTTGCGCATAACCATCCATGTGAAATACACAGCACTAGTTTATAGCTTCACCATCTTTTTGTGATACCGGCTCGCTGAATGAATGCTCACTAAAATCCAAACCTCAGCACAACCAAGGGCCATGTGTGCTAGAATGCTGAGAAAATATTCATAACATCTGGAAAATTTAAAGTTGATGAAGGATGGATCAACATATATTTATTTTCAACTGAGTAAATTATGATTTAAAAAAAAAACCCATACAATTGCTGTTGGCTTTTTTGTTCCATAATATTTTGTTAATAAAAATAAAAGGTAAAAAATCCCAAAGTGTATGTATTTGGGGTTTTTTGCTGGCATTTTTATTTAATAAAAAGATGTTAAAAACTAAAAAATTCAGTAAATATTTTAGGTTACATCCTTTCAGCAAGAATTAATATTTTTTAAAATGTCCTCATTGCATTATATTGTTGCAGATACAATGAAATTGATGCTTTATTTTAATATATTTGTTCCATTTAGGTAAGAAGCAATTGCATGTATTTTCTGTATTTAATATTTTCAGATGTTTATTTTCTTTTAAAATTTAGCTCATGGGGAGTTGGAGAAAGAAAATGGGCTTATAGTCAAAAGACTTGCTGTTCAATTTAAGAAAAACAAACATACAGCTCCAACAATTCAGTGCTTTGCAGAATTGATTAATATAGATCAACTAGGGGTAACTGTAATGATTAATGGCTTGAATTTATCAGTATATGTATAATATGTAAATATCTGTCTTGTATATTTTTTTTCATCTATTTCTCTTTCGTAATTTTATAATTTGTTGCAGTTCTTGTTTTTGTATTTAATTAATTGAAAAGCCCCAAAACATAAACAAGAGGTATGAACATAGTTGGTTAGGAAACCGAATTTTAGTATAATTTATTGTAGACAGAAACATTCTTTTTCTAACAAAATTACCAGAATGACACAGAACAAACATAGTTTCACCAACACAGCTAGTCTCATTTTACTTTCCTTGCCCAAAGCATTTAAGCTTCAGTTTTTATGTTCTGTTGTGTTTATGGCAAAATCCTTGTTTACCTCTGTTTCACGGTAGAAAGAATGCAGCTCACGCAGTTATTTCTGCCTTAAGGGTAAAAATAATGCTGTTCTTTATGTTCTTATATTGTAGTGGTGCGCGGGGGTGGGGTGGATGGGAAGGCAGATCATCCAGTGAAGGTTTTGGGTTTTGCCTTGGAAAGGATGAAATCAGGAACAAGCTCACAGTTAAACAATTATGTCCTTAGATGTCTATGACTTTTATGTTGTTGAGAGCATATAATAGAACCACCATTGTAATATTTTTTCTTTTTTCCCCATCTTGGCTTATTCTACATGCAATCCTTGTTTGACTCGTTGCCAAATACAGTTCTTTGTCTCTACTATAATCATTTGTATTGCTGACCTTTCTCCTTTTCCATTGGCGATGCTGTGACCTATTTTCAAGACACCACTGTTCCTATGCTCAACAGCTCTGCAATTATTCTTTTCCAGGCCAGAAAAGCAATTTATATATATAAAAAGCTGACATAAGCATTTTAGTAGTTTTGAATATTTATCTTGCCAGGGGCGAGTTTGTGGTAGACAAAATGGCAACAGACTTTCTCTGGATTTTATGCAGTACGGAACATTGCAA